TGTTATAAAAAAAAAAGACGATATGGAGGAATTTACTGGACCAGGCCCAGGCCCAGGCCGTTGTAATGCCTCTGATGATGACCTAAAAGCATGTGATTTTTTTACGTTATAGCACAAATATTTACACAAAAAGATTGTTTTTTCGATAACATGAAATAGATTACGCTTGACATTTTAAGGTTGATATTGTTTATGTTCAAAATTATCTGAAAACAAACTAAGTTACTTAAACAACTGAAAACGAATTATTGTTTTTTATACTAATTACTAGTTTTCGCCCGCGAATCCTTCTGCCGAATTAAAAAAACAAACGGAAGTAGCCTTTCTTCCATTTTATTTTACACCTATACTAAATTTCATTGAGATCCGTTCAGCGACTTAAGCTACAAACTCTAACAAACATGCATTTAGCACTTGTCTTGTAATCTACAGGTCTTGTGTTCGAATCCCGCTGTACCAATGTGGTCTTCGATTTTTCGAAACTTTATCTTATTTCTTACTAATATTATAAATGCGAAAGTTTAGATGGATGGATGTTTATTAGCGTTTGTAGCCTAAACGGCTAAACGGATCTCCATTAAATTTGGCACAGATATAGAGCATAGTCTGGAAGAACACATAGGCTACTTTTTATCCCGGGAATAGTTACGGTTCCCTCGGGATTCATTAATTTAGTTTTTTAATGTTTACTCGATCGCACTGATATAAAAAAAGTCTGGAGTACACATGGGGTAAGGTTCATCCCCGAGAAATGTCTGGTTCCCGAGGGATACGTAGCATTTTGTTATTTAAAGAGTTCGTATGTTTTCTAATACGACGCGGACGAAGTCGCGGGCAACAGCTAGGTAATACATAATTAGACTTTCTTACAGTGAAGGAAAACATCGCGATACCTGCACATATTGGCGAAGAAATTCAAAGATATGTGTGAAGTCAACCCGCAATGCAGCGTGGTTGACTATGGCCTAGTCACCCTAACTTAGGGTAGGCTCCGTGCCCCTCAGTGGGGACGTATAGCTGGTGATGATGATGCTGTTACTAAATGAAATGTAAAGCTTATTGGTGAAGTCGCGGACAACAGCAGGTATGCGAAGTCGGGTGTGGTTACCAGTCGAATAAAATACATATATGGAAAAAAGTTCTTTTGACATATCCATGTCGTTCAAATTCAAGGCTAACAACTTTGAGGTTATATCACTGTCTTAAAATATAATATTATGTCATGTCTTACATCTATACTAATACTGTTGCCCGCGACTACGTTCGCGTGGTATTAGAAAACATACGAATTATATAAATAAGAAAAAGCTACGTATCCCGGGAACCGAACATTTCTCGGAGATGAACCTTATCCCATGTGTACTCCAGACTTTTTTTTATATCTGTGCCAAATTTCTATAAGATATGTTGAACCGTTGCAGAATGATCGAGTAAACATTAAAAACTAAATTAATTAATCCCACGGGAACCGTAACTATTCCTGGGATAAAAAGTAGCCTATGTGTTCTTCTAGACTATCCCCTACATCTATACCAAATTTTATCGAAATCCGTTCAGCCGTTTAGGCTACAAACTCTAACTATCCATCTAAACTTTCGCATTTATAATATTAGTAAGAAATAAGATTATTAAGAGGAAAGATTGCATCTTTGTATGTATTGAAATAACTGAAATACTACAGGGTCGATATTGAAAATACACTATTAAAAAGCTACGTTATCACTGAGTAACATAGGCTATATTTTTTTAAAATCACGCGGGCGAAGTCGCGTGTAACACATACTCATTAGCATAGTTTTTATCTCTACTTCCGTATACAAAAAACCACTGCAGTAAAAATTTACGTCAATACAAACTCTACGTAAGAATGATTAAAGTACTCATCGAAAAACATTGACACAAGATATTACATTGTCACCGTTTAATAATGAATATTGTCAGTTTGAAAAGTAACTAGCAATTATCTAGCTGTTCCCATACGACTTCATCCGCATAAAATTGTTGTCAAATTATCAATTGCAAAAGTCAAAATGACATGACATGACATACCTTGGCAATCTTGCTTCCTTGATGTTGGCAACGACTTATGGTCTCTTTCCCACATTAGGGTTTTTATCCAAAATATTTACCCTTAAGTTTAACGGCGTGAAAATATATGGCCTAAAGTGTGACGTAAGTGTAGGGCTTTTTATTAAAAAAAGCGTTATTCGAAAATATGCTGTGATTGCCGACATCTTAGGCAACAAAGAAGTGTGTGTTTACGCTTTATTATAATAGTATAGATATCTGTTGTCCGCGACTTCGTCCACGCTGTATTAAGATAAAAAGGAGCTTATAGTCCGTCTGTGTCGCTACCCTTCAGTGAAAGTTCGGTCGAAATCACAGTTCCAGAGATTATTTGGAACAATCGCGGCTTGCGGACAGACAGACATACAAAAATATTAGCAACGCAGATACATCATCTTCCCGAAAGCTGGAATTTTTCTTTTGGTATTACAGACACTTCAATTTTATTATAGTTAGGTATTGATAGATTATAATTGTCTTAGACAAATTAAATACTAGAGCTTATGTCTGACTTTGTCTGCAAAGAATTAAAATTTCACCCTGACCATTAAGTCGTTTTAGAGATACTTAACAAACGTTCATATAAACTTTTGCATTTATGTTAGTACTAGCTGTTCCCGTGCGGCTTCATCCGCATGAAATTATGAAAATTTTATTTCGTTGTTTACATTTGTCAAATTATCAATTGCAAAAGTCAAAATGACCTGACATGACATACCTTGGCAATCTTGCTTCCTTGATGTTGGCAGCAATTTATGGTCTCCTTCCCACATTACGGTTTCAAACATATACCCCCTAAGTTTAATAGCGTGAAAATATATAGCCTAAAGCGTGACGTAAGTGTAGGACTTTTTATTAAAGAAATAATTAATCAAAAATATGGTGTAATTGCTGACATCTTGTGCAACAAAGAAGTGTGTGTTTACGTTTTATTATAATAGTATATATTATAATATGATGCATTCGACAATTATCATCTAGTCCGTTTACAAAATGACTGAATTAAAAAACGTTCGGTAACGAAACACGTAACCATTTCAATACGAAAAAACCTATCTGTTGACCGAGTGCTTACAGTGGCAATGACCTCGACGTCATTCGATAGAACCTGTTTTATTCACTCGGAACCTATGACTAGTTGATCTTTAAGATTATTTACACCTTTGACTAATCAATTGCATAACTGTCGGAGGCCCAACTTTAGTTCCTTGTCCTTCCCACCCTTTTCCTCATAAGAATAGGATGAAATGGACACGTGGATTTGATGTAGGAGACGCATTGATTGGAGAAATCTTACTTACTAATATTATAAATGCGAAAGTTTAGATAAATGGATGGATGTTTTTTCTGGTTTGTATCTTGATAAAATAATCTTGATAAAATTTGGCATAGATGTAGAGGATAGTCTGGAAGAACACATAGGGTACTTGCTTAAGTTTTTTTTTTAAATTACGCGCGAACGGAGTCGCGGTCGACAGCTAGTATCCTATATGTACGTCTCCGTCAATTAAGATTAGGCAACGCTGCAATTGCGGATGTCTATGGGCAGTCGCTTCGCCATCTTCGGATTCAGGTGGCTGCTTACTCGTTTGCCACCTTATAATGTAATAAATCTGTTTAGTCATCCAACTAAAAATCGAATAGTGGTAGTAAACTCATAGGAATCAAAGCGTGGGTTACCAGTTGTGCGATAATTTAGTCAAATGTCTGCGTTTTTAGGCAGGAAACGCATCATAAATGCGAATGATTAGTGGTCGCTTCGACTTTAGTGAATTCAGGTGACCGCTTGCTCTTTTTTTTTATATATATTTTTTCATAATATAAGGTGGCAAACGAGCAAGCGGCCACATCAATCCACCGAAATGGAAAGCGACCGCTGCCCATAGACATCCGCAATTGCAGATGCGTTGCCTACCCTTCATTAATGGTGGGGGAGACGCACATAACGAAGACATGCGTCTCCTCCATCGTCAATCCCACTTTTCTTTCCCATCCTTTCCTCTTAATAAAAGGGTGGAAAGGGACTAAAATTAGGCCTCCGGCACCACACTCGTCAAACGAAACGCGGAATTGCTTCCACTTCACGCCTGTTTTCTTTGTGGTCGTGGTATTGCTGGGGCGAGCCGGCCCATTCGTGCGAAGATGTTAAAGCGGGCTCTACCACTGTAAAGTTTCGTTTGACACTTTATGATATTTTCGCCTACGTAAAATTAAAACATAACAAAAAAATATAGCCTATCTACTCAGTAATAACGTAGCTTTTTAATGGTGAAAGAATTTTTGAAATCGGCCCAGTAGTTTTTGAGTTATTTCAATACATACAAAAATACAAATCTTTATAATATTAGTATAGACTCGGTGTTCTCATGCAGCTTTATCCGCATGATATAAAAAGGCTGCTTTGCTGCTATTGGCAGCATTGTAGTTGTTCCTTTCCCAAATGACGGGTTTTTTCAATTCCAACCCCTAAGTTTAATACCGTGGAAATATATAGCCTAAAGCGTGTCGTAAGTGTAGGGTTTTTTTATTAAAGAAAGAATTATTCAAACATATGATTGACACCCTTCATAACTAAGTAGTGAGTTACGATTATATTAGTAGTAGCTTGCGCCACGACTCCGTCCACGTGGAATTAAAAAACAAAAGTGAGTAGCCTTTGTTATACCAGACTATCCTCTACATCTATACCAAATTAGCTGTTGCAACTTCGTCCGCGTGGTATTAGAAAACATATGAACTATATAAACAACAAAAAGCTACGAATCCCACGGGAACTATGTAGTAGCCTATGTGTTCTTCCAGACTATCCTCTACATCTATACCAAATTTCATCGAAATCCGTTCAGCAGTTTAGGCTACAAACTAACAAACATCCATCTAAACTTTCGCATTTATAATATTAGTATTATAGTTAGTTATTGTTTGTTCCTCAGGGTATGAATGTGCGGCTCGCGTTCGCAATCTTATCATCAGCGTGCTGGTCTGCTTTCCAACATGGGTATAACACTGGAGTCATCAATGCACCACAAGCGGTAAGTTCCTATCCACTGAAGGGCTCGGAGCACACCCTAGAACTACCTCACAACTGTTTAGTCACGCTTTGATTTATGAGAAATAGACAGACTACTCGATTTTTAGTTGTCCATAAACAGTAGAAGGCTGTGAAACAATCGACAGTTGTGTGATAGTTCTTAAGGTAGGGCGAGTAATAGCGAACGCCCACGGCTAGACCTAAGGGCATCACAGATTTGCGAACACACACAACTTTGTTTTACCCCTCCCCTATAAAAGGGGAGACTAAAGACATTTGAAAAAGCATAGACGAGACAGTGATTTTTCCACCGGTACTTTCTCTGAAAGGTACTATATCAGTCAACTTTAGTACATTTACATGTAATAAAACGTGTTACAAATTTATTATTATTTGCAATCAGTCTTGAAAACTTCAACAAACAAAACAAACAAAATAATTTAATAACATTTAATGGTAATTAATTTAAATACAAATAACTAGCTATCGCCCGCGATTCTGTCTGCGTGGAATTAAAAAAAAACTAAAGTGAATAGTCCATGTGTTTTTCCAGACTATCCTCTACATCTGTACCAAATTTCATCGAAATCCGTTCAGCAGTTTAGGCTACAAACTCTAATAAACATCCATCTAAACTTTCACATTTATAATATTAGTATGAAGTATGATTACAGTGATATTTGGTTTTGAGGATGTATCAATAGATGGCGTTATGAGAAGGCATGAATCGCATGTAACAAGAAGGAGTTTAGTTCTGAGTGTGGTACACCGGTAGAGGTAGACAGAAAGAGGTGGATGGAATGCGTGAAAGATGACATGATCAAGAAGGGAGTGACTGACGCATGATAGAGTTATTTGGAGGACGAAAACCCGTTGCGCCCTTACGGGAATAGAATAAGGCAGGGGAGATAATGACCAATAGATGGCGTTATATGTGAATTTTTCAAGAGAAGTCAAATGCCTTCTCTCTATTTTATGAATCTCTGGGGAGACGGAAAACACTAAACACTAGCCTAATTCTTTTTACCGTTCAATTTCAGGTTATGTCAAAATGGTTGCAAAGAGAAGCCTTAACAGGCACCAATATCACGATTGACGCTGACGATGACCCCAAAGTGACAACCATATGGTCGGTGACAGTCTCCATATATTGCGTGGGTGGCATGATAGGTGGCATATTGACAGGCTTTATAGCTGACAGGTTAGTTTATTTATATCTACTATTACTTACTTACTCTTCTATACTATTTTTTTTATAACATAAGGTGGCAAACGAGCAAACGGCCACATGAATCCGCCAAAATGGCGAAGTGACTGCCCATAGACATCCGCAATTACAGATGCGTTGCCTACCCTTATACGACGGAGGAGGAGAGGCACATAAAGACGATATTTCCCCTTCCCATGCATCTCCTCCACCGTCAAATCCACTTCCCCTTTTCAACCTCTCCTTATAAGAAAAGGGTGGTAAAGAGAAAGGGACTTAAATTAGGCCTCCGGCACCACACTCATCAGACGAAACACGGAATAGCTTCCATTTCACGCCTGTCTTCTGTGTGGTCGTGGTATTACTGGGGGCGTGCCGGCCCTGCAGTGCTAAGCGGGCACTACTACTGTCGAATTAAATTAATATATAAATTATTATAATAAATTATCTATACTTTTATACTAATATCATGAAGAGGAAAGATTTGTATTTTTGTATGTATTGAAATAACTCAAAAACTAATGGGTCGATTTTAAAAAGTTTCTAATATCGTAAATAAACACTTTCAATTGAAACCAACCAGTGACGTTGTAACATAAGTTTCGACAGGACCGAAAGTTTCGGCTTTTGGACAGAACCGAAACTAGATTTTTTAGAACTACCGAAACCGAAAGTTCGATCATTATTACTAATTATGTTCCAGATTCGGTAGAAAAGGTGGTTTATTACTGAATAATGTTTTTGTATTCCTCGGAGCGGCGTTCCAAGGTTGTTCCAAGGTCGCCAATTCAGCTGAACTTCTCATAATAGGCAGGTATGTTGAGATACTCGTATATTTTTAAAATTGAATACTTCTATAGTATTGAATATTAATTGGTAAATTGTCTGATAACTATCCCACGTGTAAAATATCCTATTTTGTTCCCTTATCTGACAGTGACGTCATAAGCTATCTGAGCCTCTATCACCCAGTGGTGGGACAGGGAATACAGCCAGTAAATGGATGTTTGTTAGTTTGTATTCTTAAATGCTGAACGGATTTCGATGATTGCCATACATGTAGAGGATAATTGTTTTTTTTTTTTTTAGATAGACTTCAACAAATATAGTTTTATTTTTTAATGCACAGAAACCGCGGGCGAAAGCTAGTATCTATACTATTATAATAAAGCGTAAACGCACACTTCTTTGTTGCCTAAGATGTCAGCAATTACAGCACATTTTTGAGTAACTCTTTTTTTAATAAAAAGCCCTTACGTCACGTTTTACGATATATATTTTCACGCCATTAAACTTAGGGGGTAAATATTTTGGATAAACACCCTAATGTGGGAAAGGGACAATAAACTACAGGCTGCCAACATTAAGAAAGCAAGGTTATTGCAACTGAGGATTTGACAAATGTAATTTTTTTTTATAATTACATGCGGATGAAGTCGCACGGGAACAGCTAGTATACCATATATAAGTAACGTTTCAAAATATACACTACTTTTAATTTGTACTACGTTTTGGACGTTTCAATAGTTTGTTACAAAACTTGGTTTCTTAACGCAGATATAACTTATGTAGTAATTTCAATGACTATCGCTTATTTGTAACTTATTTCGTAAGCCAATATAAGTTACATTCTCAAGTTTGTTACTTTCACATTTATATTGTTAAGATTATATTAATTTGGGTCAAGTGACTTGCCTTAAAAGGCTTTTTATGACAATATAGATTTAAAAAAAAAAATATTATGTTGTCAATTTAAATTGAATTATAAGTACAGTCAGCTTCTCTCGGGATATTGAAATTGGCTTACATAATTTAAATAGCTTTTGCCCTGCTCTGCGTGGGATTAAAAAAATGGAAGTAGTCTATGTGTTCCAGATTATCCTCATGTATGAAAATCATCGAGATTCAGTTTAGAATACACTATTTCTATGAACTTATAAGATTTACAAACTATTAAAATTTTAATTATCTGAAAAAATTAAAAAAAAAAAATTTGTTACAACGCCATCTATCGTATAAGGCGTTACTAATATCTTCTATTTCCAGGTTACTGATTGGAATCAACAATGGTTTGAACGCTGGATTAGCTCCGTTATATTTAGCAGAAATTTCACCAGTTTCTATGCGTGGCTCGGTAAGAATATATATATATTTATTAGATTATATATGCCCATTTTAATAAAAAAATTAACGATTTAACGTCCTATTTATGTAATAAAAATGTCATATTTAAGTAAATTAGTACTAAATTCTTGTAAATTTTAATTAACTAGCTGTTCCCATGCGACTTCATCCGCATGAAATTATGAAAATTTTACTGTTTTGTTTACATTTGTCAAATTCAATTGCAAATGTCAAAATGACAAATCATGGCAATATTGTTCCTTGATGTTGGCAGCAACTTATGGTCTCTTTCCCACATTAGAGTTTTTATCCAAAATATTTACCCCCTAAGTTTAATGGCATTAAAATACATAGCCTAAAGCGTGACGTAAGTGTATGGCTTTTTATTAAAAAAAGAATTATTAAAAAACATGGTGTAATTGCTGACATCTTAGGTAACAAAGAAGTGTTTGTTTACGCTTTATTATAATAGTATAAATATAGATATGGAAATAATTAAATCTTAAAAATGTTTAACAACACGTACAGTCAGAGAATTTGTCGGTGTTCCACTTTGAAACTATACGCACATTTGACTAAACTGACACAACTGTTGTACGATCGTCGATTGTTTCGCAATTCAACTATTTAGTTGCACAACTAAATATCGAGTAGTGTACCTTCATAGCTAGGAATCATAGCGAAACTAAACAGTCGTTCGATAGTTTAGTCAAAGGTCAATAGATTGTTACGCCAATTGAACTGCTTACTTGTACAAGCTCGTAGGAATCAAAGCGACAAAACTGTTGTCCGATAGTTTAGTTTCAGCTGTGCGCACGCTGTTATAAACTGCGTTGTTTGGATTATTCCCAACCGTCACCCCGCTTGGACCCCACTTGAGAATAAAAAGTTTCATCCGTCCCACCTTTTAGTCACACTATCACCAATAAGGTGACAGATGAAACGAAATGATGATTATGAAATAAAATAAGTTCCAACCATCCCCTCGTCGCAAAAGGCAGGACGGATGAAGCTTTTTATTCTCATCTGTCCCCATGTGGGGACAGAGCGGTGTCACGGTTGGGAATAGGCCCGTTGTTTTTGTTCCATGTCTCGTTTTACAATGTTCAAACGTTTTGAGGTGGAACACCAACAATTACCCCAATTGTACTTTGCAGTACAATTTCGATTTATTATTCACAGATCGGTACAGTTTATCAGTTAGTGATTACGATCACTATCCTATTATCACAAGTACTAGGTCTAGAAGCAGTCCTAGGTACAGACTGGGGCTGGCCCTGGCTGCTAGCCGTGACCGCTATTCCCGCGGTCATACAATGCCTCACTTTACCTTTGTGTCCTGAATCACCTAAATATTTGTTACTGAATAAAGGACAGGAATTACATGCGCAAAGAGGTAGGTTTATTTACTATATACTTGTGTTTGTGCTAGGATTTAAAATACTTATATATAACTACAGTTTAAAAGTGTTAGTGCCCGCTTTAACATGTTCACACTGTAGCGCCTTCAGCAATACCACGACCACACAGACAGGCGGGAAGTGGAAGCAATTCCGTGTACTGATGAGTGTGGTGCCGGAGGCCTAATTTTAGTCCCTTTTCCTTTCCACCCTTTTCTTAAGAGGAAAGGGAAGGGAACGTGGATTAGACGGTGAAGGCGCATAGGAAGGGAAAATGTCCTCTTTATGTGCGTCTCCGTCAATGAAGGGTAGGCAGCGCATCTGCAATTTCATTTCTGTGGATTAAGGTGGCCGCTTGCTCGTTTGCCACCTTATAATATAAAAAAACTAGCTTGCGCCCGCGGCTTCGTCCGCGCCGAATTAAAAAATAAGTATAAGTATTCTATGTGTTCCAAACTGTCCTCTACATGTATGACAATCACCGAGATCCGTTCAACATCCATCCATCCATCAAAACTTTCGCATTTATAAAATTAGTGATATTTTTCTTCATTCTGCGTTGAAATATCGCGGGCAAACGATATAAGGATTTTTCATTATATTTTCAGCTTTGAATTGGTTAAGAGGAGATGTCGCTGTTCACGGGGAGATGGAAGAAATGCATCAGGTAGATTTCCCTTTTTTATTAGTCTACTGATTATTAAACAATTAATATACTTACATATTTGTAACTAGCGATATTAATTTTACTACTGCACTAGAGATCTCGTCACTTGTCAGGAATGCGCGCCAATATTCCAATCCTTCTGATGACATTGACAGCTGTCAGTTAGAGATGTGACGTTTATGCCAATATTCTAGTGTTGCGCCAATTTCTGCAGCGCGGTACTAATTTTCTTCTTAACAATATATATTGTTTTTATTATTATATTTTTATTGCAGGAAGCAGAAAAGAACAAAATCAGTAAGAAAGTGACTTTCCGCGAACTGGTCAGTAATAGACAACTCCGTCAGCCGCTGACCATAGCTATTGTTGTGATGATCGCCCAACAATTCTCAGGAATCAACGCTGTTATATTCTTCTCTACTGATATCTTCAAGAAAGCTAAACTCAACGAAACTCAATCACAGTACGCGACTTTAGGTAAGTGACACAGGATTATTCCCGTCTCCCCGCTCTGTCCTCACGTGGGGACAGATGAGAATAAAATTTTCATCTGTCCCACCTTTTAGTTTCACTGACACCAATAAGATGACAGTTCAAAATTAACTCAACCACAGTACACGAATTTAGATAAGTAACACAGGGTTATTCCCGTCACCCAGCACTGTCCCACGTGGGGACAGATGAGAATAAAACGTTTTATCCGTCCCACCTTTTAGTTTCACTATCACCAATAAAGTGGTAGATCAAACTTAACTCAAACACAGTATATTACTTTAGATAAGTAACACAGTTATTCCAGTCACCCTGCACTGTCACCGCGTGGGGACAGATGCGAATAAAAAGTTTCATCTGTCCCACCTTTTAGTTTCACTATCACCAATAAAGTGATAGATCAAACTTAACTCAATCACAGTACACGACTTTAGATAAGTAACACAGGATTATTCCCGTCGCCCCTCTCTGTCCCCTCGAGTGGACAATGAGAACAAAGATTTTCATCAGTCCCACCTTTTAGTTCCAATATCAGTAATAAGGTGAAATATCAAAATTAACTCAATCACAGTCCCCGCGTGGGGACAGATGTGAATAAAGTTTCATCTGTCCCATCTTTTAGTTCCACTAACTAAGGTGACATATCAAAATGAACTCAATCGCGCTTCAGGTATGGGAGCGATGAATGTGGTGATGACAGTGATCAGTCTAGTGCTGGTGGAGGTCGCTGGCCGCAAAACGTTGCTGCTCACTGGCTTCACTGGCATGATAGTCTGCACTGTCGGACTGTGTATCGCCGGGTTATATGTAAGTATGACATTGAAAACACTTTAAACGCAAACTTCGTTAGCGTGGAATTTATTATACGTAAATACTACAGTAAAACCTCGATAAGTTAAAGTTCAAGGGAAACACAAAATATTTTAAGTTATAGAGGTTTTAAGTTATCAAGGGTCTTTGTAGAGGTTTTGGGCTCTGGTGGGAAGGGAACATATTATTTGAAGTTATAGAGATTTTTATGTTACCGAGGTTTGAGTTTTGAGGGTCTACTGTATTATAAATACGATATCTTAAATTGAACGTATCGATAATAGGCAATATACATATGAGAAATTGGACCAAACTTATTTTAAGCATTCTTTATTACTATAAAAACATTCCTGTAAATATTTTTTTTAAATGTAATGTGATTTAGTGGCAAAATTGAATGATTAAAAAGTGTATTTTTTCAAATTCCCTCGCTAAGTTCTAAAACGCACACTATTGCTCGAAGCAAGTGGCTTATCTAATATGGCGTCGCTGTGTTGACAATACACAGTTCATTTACGTTAGTTTATATAGAAATACACTCTTGAAGTATTTTACTGTAAACACGATATCAAAACCAACTTTAAAATAAAAAATTAATGAATAGATTTATTAATTACCACTTATTTGTACCAGGAATAATAAAATGAATCGATTTTTGACTTTTTGACCTTGAGATACTTTGTTGTGTTTTACGTCGAAGTGACATCTGAGCGTATGTTATGAATGGAATAAGACGTTTGACGTCAATTGTCTCATGACAACTTCGATCCCGTTTTAGTCGCTCGAAAATGGTCGCAATTTTATTTTATTATTTTTAGCTCATAGGTTGAATATTTTCGCGTCAAATTTTTTTCTGGTTATTTTTTAAAAAGTAGAATCGTTTACAAAAAAAAAATGCATATTCCCTATTGGTTAATGTAGAGTCTGGAAGATAGGATGTTTTTGTTAATTATTCTATACAGACAGAGTCGTGTGTAACATTTTTGTATATTTTCGACCGACTTCCCAAAAGAAGGAGGTACTCAATTCGTCTGTATGTTTTTTTATGTGTGTTACATAACTCCGCCGCTAGTGGACCGATTTTGATAATTCTTTTTTTATCCGAAAGGTAATGCTTGCAAATGGGTCTCATTTTTTTGTTTGATTTTTTTTCTTGTATACTTTCCAGACAGAACATATGTGGGTGTCATATCTCTGCATTGCGCTTGTTATCTTGTTTGTGGTGACATTTGCTGTAGGTCCGGGTTCCATTCCATGGTTCCTTGTCACGGGTAAGTTATTAAAAGGTATATTTTCTTAAATACTAGCTATTGCTCGCGACTTCGCGTGAAACTAGAATAATATAGCCTATGTTACTTACAGATAAATTACCTTTCTAAAGTTGAAAGAATTTTTAAAATCGACCCAGTTTTTAAGTTATTTCAATACATACAAAAATCTTTCCTCTTTATAATATTAGTATAGATTATTGGCTCCTATGTAAACTGCTGTAAGTCACATTTTTAAGGTTTGCATATTTATTATCTCTTTGTATTTTTTATTGAAATAACTCAAATACTGGGTCTATTTCAAAAATTCTTTTACTAATAAGATACTTTGTCAATAAGTAATATAGGCTATTTTTTAATTTATTGAGACGAAATCGCAAGGAAAAGCTAGTCAAATATGCAGCTGCTTTAGTTATATTATTGGCTCCTATGTACACTATTCTAAGTCACAATATCGTTGTTTTGATTTTAATTTTTAAAAGATCAGTAAACTTTATAAATCAAGTTAAATTTCATTGTTTTAATCGATACAAACTTGTGTGTTTATACACTAGCTGTTGCCCGCGACTTTCCGCGTGGTAATAGACAACATACGAACTATATAAATAACAAATAGCTACGTATCCCGGGAACCGGACATTTCTCGGGATGAAGCTTATCCCATGTGTATTCCACACTTTGTTTTATATCTATGACAAATTTCAATAAGATATGTTGAACCGTTGAATGATCGAGTAAACATTACAAAACTAAATTAATCCCACGGGAACTAACTATTCCCGGGATAAATAGCCTATGTGTTCCAGACTATTATCTAAACCTGTGCCAAATTTCATCGAAATCCGTTCAGCAGTTTAGGCTACAAACTAACAAACATCCATCTAAACTTTCACATTTATAAATAATTCCAGAATTATTCAACCAAGCAGCTCGACCCGCGGCCTCTTCTGTAGCAGTAACTGTCAATTGGACAGCAAACTTTATAGTTGGACTTAGTTTCTTACCGTTATCAGTAAGTATATATCAACTTGCCCTTATCCCTTAGAGGGTAGACAGAGTATGTACTCTTCCATACATCTCTATCAGCCATATCTACACTCCTTTCTTAAGCATATCCTCTTTCATACCAATATTTTCTTCAGTCTTCCTCTTCCTTTGTAGCCTTCTTAACACCTTTGAAATACTAGATTTTTCTATATTAGCACCAAGTCTAACCTTGTAACCTATACTATTATAATAAAGCGTAAACACACACTTTGTTGCCTAAGATGTCAGCAATTACACCATATTTTTGAATAATTCTTTCTTTAATAAAAAGCCCTACACTTACGTCACGCTTTAGGCTATATATTTTCACGCCATTAAACTTAAGGGGTAAATTAATTGGAAAAATCCTTCATGTGGGAAACGGACCATAAACTACAAGCTACTTAGTCTAATTTTTGTCAAAATTAAAAACTATCCAGTATATTTTTCAATGTTTTTCCAGACTACCCTCTATTATGTCAAATTTCATCGAGATACGTTCAGCTGTTTAGGACAAACTAACAAACATCCAAACTTTCGCATTTTTAATATTAACAAGCGTTTCGTCTGATCAGTGTGCCGGAGGCCTAATTTTAAACCCTTTTCCTTTCCACCCTTTTCTTAAAAGGAAAGGATGGGAAGGAAAAGTTGACTGTGGAGACGCATAGGAAGGGGAAATGTCCTCTTTATGTCCGTCTCCGTCAATGAAGGGTAGGCAGCGTTGCAATTGCGGATGTTTATGTGCAGTCGCTTTCCATTTCTGTGGATTCAGGCCGCTTGATCGTTTGCCACATTATATTATAAAAAAATAACTATTTTTTGTTCCAGTTGGTGCTCGGTATGAATACATTCATAATATTCGCAATCCTGCAATTCCTGTTTTTGTTATTTATAAAATGTAAAGTGCCTGAAACAAAGAATAAGACTGTAGAAGAAATAACAGCAATGTTTAGACAACAGATATAAAGTTACTCATCATCCACTTGCCCTTATCCCTTATGGAGGGTCGGCACAGTATGTGCTCTTCCATACATCTCTATCAGCCATATCTGAATACACTCCTTTCTTAAGCATATCCTCTTTCACACAATCCATACTTTCTTCGGTCTTCTTCCTTTGTAGCCATCATTCAATCTTAACACTTTCAGGTTTATGTCATATATATATATATATATCATACCACGCTAACCTTTTGCTTCTCAATTTCTCCACCATTGGCGCTACTTTCAAACTTCCTCTAACACATTCTTAACTTTATCCAATCTTGTCACACACATCCATCTTAACATACGCATCTCAGCTACATGCTAAAGTTACTCTACTTAGAAATCTGTTAATCAACATTACGTTCAATTAGGGTTGTAACGGAACTACGCTTCCGTTTCCGCATCCGTAAGTGCGGAAATTCCGCAAGAAATAACATCGCTTCCGTTATTTTTTACGGAGTTATAACGGAGGTTAATGTCTAACGCGAGTGGGGCGATTAGGTACCGTTTATACGTAAATTAAATAACTATAATTGTTATATATTTACATAATATACTGTATCTTGTAATTATATACTTTTAGATAACTTATTTATTGTTACTGTCGCTTTAAACTCAGAGCAACACTTCTCGTCAGGACTTAAGATGCGCGCCAAATCCATACTTCTAGTGACATTGACAGCTGTCAGCTAGGGATGTGACGTTTATGCCGATAATAGTGTTGCGCCAATTCTATACCACGGTACTAATTTTTGACCGACTTCCCAAAAGGAGGTCAATTCGTCTGTATGTTTTTTATGTGTGTTACATAAATCCGCTGCTAGCGGACCGATTTTGATCATTCTTTTTTTTTCGGAAGGTAATGCTTGCAGATGGGTCCCGCTTTTTTGTTGGATTTTTGGAGTCTAATGTTCTTAACAGTACCAATCTGTATTTTGTATTAACGTAGTTTGAGTTTTTGTTTCTTTAATAAATCGAAATTAATATTGACCTCCGCTTCCGCAAAGGTGAAACATTTTAACGGAAACGGATGCGGATACGGAGGGCCGTATCCGCATCCGTTTCCGTTAAAACGTCCGTTACAACCCTAGTTAAATACATAAACAGTAACAATCTCAAGGGATCAAATCAGAATCAAATCTAGGGTTTTTTAAATATATTTGTATGAAAAAAATATCGGTATTTTGTACGAGAGCTTTTATTATTATTTTTGTATTTGAAGGAGTTTTTTTTTTAATCTAGGCAATTTGTATTTACACTACTTAGAATACCGCGGATTTCCAAGACTTTAACAGTGGTAGCCCGCTTTAACATCTTCACTGTAGGGCTCTCACGACCACACAGACAAGTGTGAAGTGGAAGCAATTCCGCGTACTAATGAGTGTGCCGGAGGACTAATTTCAGTCCCTTTCCAAACTTTTATTAAGAGGAAAGGATGGGAAGGGAGCGTGGATTTGACGGTGGAGACGCATAGGAAGGGGAAATGTCCTCTTTATCTGCGTCTCCGTTAAAAAAGGGTAGGCAGCGCTGCAATTGCGGATGTCTATGGGTTGTCGCTTCGCCATTTTGGTGGATTCACATGTGATTCTCTTTTGCTTCCTTATGTTATAAAAAAAAATCTTTAAAACCACCAGAAATAATGTAGCTAAGTTATTTTTAAGGGCAGTAAAACTAAATTGTCATTATAACAAGATCCCAGTCGGTTTTTGCCTTGTCTTGTGTTGATTTTTTTATATTTTTTTAACAAGTAAAGATAATAATGTTCTTTTTCTTGTTAAGTTTTTCATACTATGTCGATAATTATAATTTTTCTGTTACAAGAACAAAAAAATTGACTTTAGTCGTGTTTTTTTTTATTTGCAAAGACTTGTCGAGTAAATTTTCATTTTATTGCATTTTTAGTTAATTTCGTATACGTAATATTTTACTATGACCTTGTTTTAATGCATATATGTATCTCTTTCATTCATTTTAACAAAGTAAAGGAGAAATTATAGTGGCCGGAATAGTTGGCACGTCAAGAAAAAGAGTACCTAAACCCCTCATGTGCCAACTTAAACGTCACTATATTTTGGATTTTAAATTCCTCAGTACCTTTTACATGTAGATTTAAAATCTAGATTTAATGACTTAATTTATAACCTAATTAAATCCAGTATTTTTATAATCATTTTTATACTACTTATTTTTACTAAAAATGCTTATTTTTAAAAAAAACTTAATTTACAAAAAATGCGATTTTTACGATTTTTCGTAAAAATCACATTTTTTGTCTTAGTATTATTTACATTGGAGCCGACAATTATTAAAAAAAAATCAACATATAAGCTTTTTGTATATTTAGTTTTGTTATTTTAGAGCACACCTTTGACTAAAATATCGCACACCAGTTGTGCGATAGTTGGTTTCGCAGTAAACTGTTTAGTTGCACAAGTAATCGAGTAGTGTGTATCAAAGCTCATAGGAATCAAAGCGAGGCTAAACAATCGTGCGATAATTTAGTTTTTATGCGATTTTTTTATAGATTGACCTCATTTTTCTAATGCTTTTGATATTTCCATGACTCTTATAAACTATTATGAGTTTTTGCGACTTACTTCTTTTTTGTTTTGAAAAATAACTTGAAAAATAATGTTTTTTTTTGTCTGTTTTATACGTAATTGTTTTAATGTTTGTAGTTTTGTTTTGTATAATTCTATTTTCATACACAATTCACATAGGATTTTTTATGTTTTAATTAATTTTAAAGGTAGTGTTATATTTTTTTACTATTCGATTTTGAACAATATAAAAATCATGTGACAAAAAAAAATCATTTTTATATAGAAAATTACAAATAGTTTTATTTATTTGCGAACACATATTTTTTATTTGTATTTTTTAACATTTTTTAAAATTATCATCGATATTAAGATTATTGTTACTCATTATTTTTTAAGGATTTTTTTTGTATTAATTAAAAAAAAACTTAATTTATTTTAACATGTTTTAATTTATAGACATTATAAACATATAGTAATTCAAATATTTGCTTTTACAAGAAATAAAAATTTAAAAAATCGATTTTTTTTTTTAGATTTTTTTTTGTATCAATTGTATTTCATAATACTGATTAAAATTAACCCTTAAACATGATTTTTTTTATTTAATTATGAAATAAATACTACATTATAGGTTTTGAGTCACAGATTAAGGGAAAAATAATAAAAAAAAACATCTTGGCTTCAATAAAAACTATCTTTTTGTTTGTAGACTTTTGGCAACAATAATGCATTTAAGGGTTAAAAAAAAGTGAAAGAACTCAAATTCCTTTGAGCAAATTAACAAAAAAGGCAATTAACGAACTCAAACTGAAACAGAACCCTAACAACAATTTGATCAAAATGCATTTTTAAATCTTAGTTTCATACATAATTACATTTCCTACTGCCACTCTGAGATTCTATTTAATCTACACTAAGGATTAGTTTAGTGAATCTTTGAGTGGCAGTCTTAGGTTGTGGAAGCATTTAATATTAGTGTGACAAGCTTATTTGGTTTTAAATATTCTAACAGAAACTTTAACGGGTCAGATAAACATGTCGCACTATAATATAAATAAGAATATAAATTTATTTTTGTAAAAAATAAAGATTTGAAGTATCTTTTATTTGGCTTTTTATTTACTACCTTACTCTCAGACAAGATTATTATCTTAGAAGTTAGAAGCAAGGTCGCCAGCCGATGACCTAGGCTGGGTTTCGACGTACAAATATGCACAAAATGTACAGTATATCAGGTAAAGACGTACACTGGACCAGATTCCTTGGTCGAAAACTTTAGGATTTGACCCAACTTACCTCTACCCAAAGTTGTTTCGTTTGGACGCTAGTTTGCTAATTACTTTAGCCTTCCCCTTCCGAACAGGTGGAATCCAAAAAAAAAAAACAAAAATGAGTAGCCTATATGTTCTTCCAGACTATCCTCTACATCTATACCAAATTTCATCCAAATCCGTTCAGCCGTTTAGTGTACAAACTAACAAACATTAATCTAAACTATAGCATTTATATTATTTATTAAAATATCTCGAAAAGAATAAAATAAATTATAATTTTGTTTCTTAAACCATTTTTGTGGAACAAACCTTTGTCATAAAATCACCAGAGGCTCGAAAACACGAATTTGGAGACAGTTTTAAATCATTATTTTTGCAACCTCTGTACAAACACCGTCAAGTTTTTTCTCATGTAAATGATAGTATAATTTTAAAAGTCTTCGGCGAATAGTCTCGATAATAAGCAATATGCATATGACGCCAAATTGTACCAAACTTTTTTTTAAGTATACTTTAATACTATAAAAACATTCCTGCAAAGATTTTTTTAAAATATAATGTGATTTAGTGGCAAAATTTAATCATTAAAAAGTGTCTTTTTTCAAATTCCCTCGCTGAGTTCTAAAACGCACACTATTGGTTGAAGCAAGTGGCTTATCTAATATGGCGTCGCTGTGTTGACAATACACAGTTCATTTACGTTATTTTATATAGAAATACACTGTTGAAGTATTTTACTGTAAACACGATATCAAAACCAACTTTAAAATAAAAAATTAATGAATAGAATTATTAATTACCACTTATTTGTACCAGGAATAATAAAAATGAATCGATTTTTGACTTTTTGACCTTGAGATACTTTGTTGTGTTTTACGTCGAAGTGACATCTGAGCGTATGTTATGAATGGAATATGACGATTGATGTGTATTATTTTTAGCTCATTGGTTGAATATTTTCGCGTCAATTTTTTTTCTGGTTATTTTCTAACAACTAGAATCGTTTTTAAAAAAATACACTAAAAACAAAACAAAATGCACTAAAAACAAAACAAAATATTCTCAAAAAAACAGTACACTAAAAAGTAACGAAATAAT